AATTCTAAATATAAGTCAGATTTTGATTTCAAACTCCTGTTCAGTAAAACATCCAGTGAGAATGGGAAAGCTCATTGATCCCATTTAAGGCTCACAACGGCAGTGGAAGAATATTGGAATCAATTTCTTGGCTGACTTAAATATATGCCAATTTAAAAAGCAATGCTTCAATTCTGGATGCTCCAGTCCATTATGATCTCTTTTCTGACTCAAAAACAGAAATTACTATTCACATTTCTAGAAGTGATTAAAAATATTACAAGAACCAGTGTAATTTTATAACCTTGGTTTAAATTTGAAAGCTTTGTTAAAAATGGGGAATCTTTTTTTGAAAAGTGACAGTACAACACCTTGTCCTTCACCATATCACTGTTCGTGATTTGATCAAAGTTTGCATTATCCTCAGGGGAACAAATAGGTAGATAGAAAAAATCTATTTTTTTGGTCGGAGAATCTAGGACTGGAGGGCACAGCCCAAAAATTAAAGGCAATTTAGGAAATAAGAAATATTTCTACACACGAAGGAAGGTAGACATTTTGGAAGTCTCTTCTGCAAACAACAAAGGTGGGTTGATGGAGTTAGGTTGCACATCATTCACAATCTATTTAAATGGCAGAACTGGATCGACAGGCTAAATGGCTTTCTCCTATCCTAATGTTCCTCATTTTTTTAATTTCAAAAATATACTTTATTCACAAAAATATCTTTTTATACATACAAGTCACTAAAGCAGTTCGATTCTGTTCAGTAGCATATGGAGAAACAAACAAACATTGGAGTTTGACTCAATCCAGAAAATAAACCAAAGGATTTCTTACTTATAAAAGACTGTATTTATATATGTTTGAGGCACTGGGAGGGTCCGGTAACTGAACGGACTCCCACTTAACTTTGGCAAAAAGACCTTAGATGGTGGTCTTTCCCCACTGCGCCTTGGCAGCAGCTGCCCCAAGCTTTAGTGCATCCCTCAGCAAGTAGTCCTGGACCTGGAATGTACCAGTTTGCAACACTCAGTCAGGGTTAACTCCTTGCTGTGGAAGACCAACAAGTTTTGGGCTTTCAAAGAGTGTCTTTCACTGCATTGATGGTCCTCCAGGTGCATTCGATGTTTGTCTCAGTGTGTGTCCCCGGGGAACGGACTAGAGAGCACAGAGTTCTGAGTCATGGAGCTGCTCGGGATAAACCTTGACGAAAACCGCTGCATTTTTCTCCTTTCTGAAGGAACATTCCAGAAGGAGATATGTGACAGTCTCAACACCCCACTGCCACTTTGAGGACAGTATGTGGGGGCACAGAGAGTTCGAGTGTACATGAAGGATCTTACAGGTAGTGCCCTTCTCACCACCAGCCAAGCGATGTCCTGGTGCTTTTTGGAAAGTTCAGGCAGTGAGGTATTCTGCCAAATGACTTTGACAGTCTGTACAGGGAGCAACCCGACAGGATCCACCCTTTCCTTTTCCTGCAGGATCTTGAGGATGCTATGTGCTGATCACTTCCTGATGGACTTGTGGATGAAGGTGTTTCTCTTTGCAAATTTCTCCACAAAGGACAGATGCGTACTAAGGGTGCACGCACATTTTGATGTAGCCACACATGAAGATGGCTATCAGGATGAGGGTGGTATTGGGTGTTTTCTTCCCCCCAATATCCAGTATTTTGCACATGGTGTCCCTGTGCACAAGGTCTATCCTAGGCCTCCAGATGAAGTGGGAGATGGCTCAGGTGATTGCAATGGTGCAGGTTCTGAGAATGGGCCAGATCTGCGCCACATACAACAACAGAGAGAGTGCCTCATACCTGATGAAGAGGCTATTACCCAAAATGGAGAGGGAGTAATAATCCCAAAAGCCAAGTTTTGGGCTCACCTTGGCACTCCTCCCATGTTTCTGTATACTCCCCAGGCCCTTCGAACCATATTCCCACCACCTTCAGGCAATCTGTCCTGACAGTGAAGGGAACAAAGGATCAGTCAGCCCAGTTCCCAAAGAACATGGCCTTGCTCTTGTCTTGGTTTACCACGGCTCCCAAGACTAGTTTGAACTGGTTGCACATGCTTGTGGGTCTGTGCACTGACAGTGGATCTGAGTCGAAAATGGTGACATCATCCATGTACAGGGAGGCTTTGACCTGCAGGCCTTCGTTGCCTGGAATAGTCACCCCTCTCAGGCTTGCATCCTTCCTGATGGACTCAGCAAAGAGCTCTATACAACATACAAACAAGGCAGGAGAGAGTGGGCAGCCCTGCCTGACTCCAGATCTGATCGGGAAGCTTTCTCATTCCCGCCCATTGGTTTAGACTGCACCAGCGATGTTGCTGTAAAGCAGTCAGCTCCAACTGCGGATTCCCTCCCCACAGCCCAATCTGGAGATCACATCCCAGCTGTAGGTGTGTGTTATCCCGTCAAAGGCCTCCTGGTGTAGGCCGATGAGTTGATTGTATCCGTGAGGAGCATGAAGCTCTCAGAGATTGTTGTGCCTGGTACAGGACAGGTTTGGTCAGGGTGAATCGCAATCCCAGAGCAGACTTGACCCGGTTGGTGATGACCTTAGACAGGATTTGTAATCTGCGTTCAGCAATGAAATTAGTCACCAATTTCGAATTTCCTCCCTCTCTCCCTTCCAATTGTAGATGAGGGTGACGATACCTTTCCTCACGGATTCATGCATGCAACTCTTCAGAAGCAAACTGTCATACACCTCCAGCAGGTCCTGGCCAGTCAAGTCGCACACAGCTGAATATAACTTGGTCAGTAAGCCATCACTTCCAGGAGTTATATTCTTTTCTTGAGAGCCTTGGTCAGCTCATCCAGAGATAACAACTGGTCCAGCCTCTCTTGCGTGCTGTTATCAGTTATAGAGGACAGGAATGTTTTGGAGGCTGCACCTTCTGTGGGCTTCATGTCATAAGGTCTGGTGTAAAAGGATTTGCTGATCCTCAGTACATCAGACTGAGATGACGTTACCGAGCCATCTTCTTCCTTCAGGCTGCAGAGCACAGAGCTCTCCCTGTGCACCTTCTGGAAGAAGAAACATGAGTACATCTAATTTTGCTCCACAGTGCAGACCCTGGAATGGAAGATTATCTTGGAGACCTTTGAGGCGAAGAGTGAAGCTTGCTGGCTCTTCATCTCCTGGAGATCCTCTGTGACATTGATTCCTATCGTCTGCCGCAGTAGTAGGTTCTGCATGCTCTTCTGGAGTTTGGACAGTTTTCCCCATCTCCCTCTCACCTTCTGGACACCTTTGAAGATAAAGTCCCTCTTAACGTTCTCTTTGACTGTTTCCCACCATTTCACTGGAGACTCAACGAGGGGCTTCATGGTTCTCCAACCTGCGTAATCCCTTTTGAGCTCCTCAATGTTTTCTGGGATCAACAGTTTCACATGTAGTTTCCACGTTCCCTTGCCAGCCCGCTGTCACCTACAGGATGACCAGTCAGCCAGCAGGAGGCGGGGATCAGAGAAGAACACTTGCTTGACATTGGTGGATCTGACCAAGAGCATACAGGGCACAAACAGGAAATCCATCCATAAGTGGATAGACCTGTCTGGCTGTGACCAGGTGTGTCTACGCTGCACTCCATCTGCCAAAGACATCGTGCAGCTTGGCAACTTTAATCGTTTCCATCAAGATCTGGATGTGGCATTCAGTTTGCCGTCAGCCCCTCCACATCGTCCATCCGCATCGATGATACAGTTGAAGTCTCTGGCGGAATGACCAGCCTGGATGTTGCTAGTGGCAGTCTCAGGGGAGCATTTCTGTACATAACGTCTGGTACAAAGAGGAGCCCGCCTACCACCTCTTTAACCTCAGAGATGGTGAAGTTGCCTCCTTGCAGCAGACAATGCAGGCTGGAGGAATGGCAATCGTTTACCCTGACAAAATCGAAGGTCAGTGGGTCCATAAGCTCGACCATTACCTGTGGCTACTGAGGTGCAGTATCTCGCACTCCCGCAGAAACAGGAGGTCTGCTTTGACTTTGGCGAGGTAAGCCGACATGGAAACGTATTGCATAGTAGATTTAATGCTATGCACATTAATACTGGCAGTTTTAAAACTCATTTTGTGATTGCATGAAATTACTTGTAGACCCAATGTCTGTTCACATGCGGTCTTGTCACAGAGGGAGTCCCTGCATCGCCACGGTTTGGGTGAACTGTTGGATGCCCTCAGCACTGAGATACCTGTCCTGTTCCTCCCTGGGGCTATAAACTAATGTCTCTAATATACTTCTTCTACTTTGAAATGAAGTGCTAATTCTATGAATTTCACAAGCCCTCTGGTGCCTCAGCTCATGACCTTTTGTTGTGTGATAGACTACTTGATGAGAATAACAGGCTATTCAATTGTGGATGTCATCACCTTTTTGATCTTGCATGTACATACCTCTTTAGGAGATATTGGCTTGCAATGAGAGTAATTTGGCTAATTTTCCTTTCAATAACCTTTGAGGGTAGAAGCTACGGCCAATTGCTATATTAAAGCTGTCTCCTGCCTGAAATATGTTGAGATAGCACAGATGAGGGATTAAGTCCTTTTGCCCTGTGTGGCTGAATGTTATGTATTCACTCCCTAAACCACTGGAGAGATGCTGGCTTATTAACAATCATTAAAACAGCATGGAAAGGAATAAAACAAAGCCAATTTTTTAAACTTTGTATTCTTCCTTCAGAATATTATGGAGTAAGAGCATTATGTAAATATTTTATCCACGATAACTACAGATTCACTTTAGATCCAAACAATGTTAGAGATGGTCTGACTCCCAAGAAGGTTCACACACAAACAGATAGTTGATCCAAGTCTCTCTCTCTAAAGAAGCCATGCACACTTGAGTCAGTATGCTTCCAGCATTGTTTCTAGTGTTCTTTCCAGAAACTCGGAATTAGATCCAAAGTCACGTATGGTTCAGCAGTGATGCAAAACAGAACAGGAAAAGTGTGAAATCACAGGCCTGTAAAAACAAGGCTAGGCAAAATAAATGTAATTCGCAACTTACCAATGAAATAGGCGAGTAGAATCACCAGTGTTACAGAAATGATGATGGCACTTAAAGCAGCACACTTCCAATTGCAGTACTTGTGGGGCTTTTTCAGACTGAATGCAGACCTTGAGAAAGTGCTGCGAGGCAAAGGCCGAGGTGGTGGAGAATACACAGTGCTTGAAGTGAGGGGGTAACCAGGGCCAGTTGTACAAAAAAGTGGAGAAGATCCAGTGCCAGATTTAAATAAGAAATGCCTGATGAATTAAGACAGAATACATATCAGAATTCTGATTCCAGAGGGTCTGGACATGACTATTCATTGAATTTCTCTTCTGTCAAATTTTATTATACTAACTTCCAGATTCACTTGCATTTTAAATGTTTATAAGTAGCTTACAAATGCTCAACAATTACAAAAATTAGGTTTGTATGGGTGATAATTAAAATTATGATATGAATATGCTTTTGTATTCTCAGTTACATTTTCTCAAAAATAATTGAACTTGAAAATATCAATGAACTGGTATACAGACTATGATAAACCCATTTGTGAGCATTAGCTGCATATTTTAGTGCTTTTACATCTGTAATTTTTTTGCATATGCTAGTTTTATGCTTCTTTTGAGTACAATATACTACCTTCTATGGAAATCACCTCAAATTCATTTGTACTCAAAATTTCATGTGACAGAAAATATGCATTTATATGGCACATTTCATAACCCAAAGACCTTTATAGCAAACAAAGTGATTTGATATGTAGCCACTGTTGTAATTCATGAAATGTGATGTATATTAAGTACCTAGGTTATAAGCCTTTTTTTCTGGAAAATGGTGTGTTTTATGAGCAGGCTATGACACACAATGTTATTACCAGTTCTATGACTTTTGATATGATGAACTATAAAAGAGGAATGCAACTCCTAGAAGATATGGGAGCCCAGGTTTTAGAAGAAGTTTGCAATACTCTGTTATGAGAAAAGAAATAGTTTGTATTGTGCTCAATGTGGACCTTGCTGAGGATCGATTGTTCCCTTTCTGCTGTACTTAAAGACTCTTCAGTTTGATATACTTTAAGAGCATGTATCTAACCAGTGTCTATTACAGGGCTGACTTCTTTTGTTGTCCAAATGCTGATCTCTATGCGTGATTTGGGAGAATAATGTTTCTCAGGAGGGAGGTATAGTACAAACTTCTCTTCCTTCTGAAGGCCGTTTCTTACAGTGCAGTACTTTAGAAACACATAAAACGTATTATATGTTAGCTTCTAACTTAGGAAAAATGTTCCTAAGCTAATATTTGAAAGCTCCAACTGCCTAAGCTGTCACAATAATGTTTGATTTATGAGTGCAGAATTCTGTCACATGTTAAATTGCAAAGTATCAAAGGCTTAAGGTTGAATCTTACATTTTTCTGGCTGTGTTATTTTCATTGGACCTCACTCTGTGAAACCCAATGAGTTTTCTGACATTATCATCCCAAACTCTCCTCACTAACTATCTTGCCCATCCCTGTAGCATACCTCCCATCCAATGGTGGGCTGATTCTCCCACGCACTGCAGCTGAAATTCTCACCGCTGCCAGAGTCTTACAGGATAGATTGGCATCCCTGGCATTGGCACCATCCAAGTCCTGGCAATCTGATGTTGCACTGCACAACTGCACACTGCCCCAGAGGGTATAGCAGATAAGGGAAAATTGGCAGTGTGATATTTCCAATCTCTAAGTTCTGATGAACAGAGTGGTCTGGAGGAGGGCTGTCCTTTTTCCCCAGGGCAGCCATGCTATCACCTCTGCCAATCTGAGCTGAGGTTGCTACCCTAGTCACTGTTGTCTGTATGGTACGGTGAAAGGCCCAGTAATGCAGCAAGTAGGTCACTGAGCATCTCCGCTCTGCCAGGGTAAGTGCCACCATTTTCCCACTGGTACCTCACACTCACTCAGTCTCTGCTACCACACCCCCTTCTCACTAAGGCTCATGCTCTACTGTTCTCACTACTGCCTGTGCCATCTACCCAGTCTCAGTCTCAGCCACCCAACTCCCGCGCCCAATTCACCTGGCATGCCCTCTGTGCTGCAGAGTCATGTGGGACACCTCACCACCTCTCCTCCACCTATTAAAGCACCAGCCACTGTGCCAGACACTTCTGTCTCAGTTAATCTAGGTGGCACATTTTTAAGACGAGAGGAGAAAGATTTAAGAGATGCTGAAACAATCACGTCCTACCAACTGAACAAGAAACAAATGTTCCTTGCGCTGTACTCTCACATTGACCCTGCTGTCAATGTAGTTTTCACCTGCCCCTCTTATAACGCTTGGCTGCCACATCTTCTCACTTTTATATCTTGCGTATCCATTTTTTCTCTGGTAGGAGCGTGTCACCATCACACATCCCCTCCAGCACCGCTAAGTCGGAAGCCACTGACACTCCAGCACTCTGCAGCAGCTGAGATACTGACCTTTTTGGTGAGTATTTGCACTACATTTGAGTCAGGAGCATCTGCTGGTTTGCACTCCACTGCAATGTACCTGCAGCTAGCTGAGGAAGAAATGGCCCAGTTCATTGGAACTCAAGACTGAAAGAAACCAGATACCTGCACAGCCCCAGGCAGCAGAGGACCCCATAGATTTGGCAGTTGGTGACTGGGTACACAAGCAGACCCAAGAGCAGCAGGCAGGTTTGTGGGGGCAATGGTCACACTGGTAAATGCTGCAGTCCTGCAACCATGCCATAGGTCTCTGTTGCCCCAGTCATGCTTCATCTGGTTATCTCCATGGACAGTTTAGTGGTGCCATGGAGAGCTACACCGAGCAATGCCAGGATCAGTAGAAGAGAACTGCACTCCTGTACCCTTGTCTTTAGTTCGTGAAGACAGGAAACAGTGGACCTTGACCTCAGTCTGACTGCTCCCTCCTCACAAACAGACAGGACAGTGACAGAACGCTCCCAACCAGAATAACCAGACTGGCTTCAGGAAATCTCGTCTCAAAACATTCCAGAAGTGGCAGCTTCTTTCACCATCCAGCTGAGTCTGGGCAGCTGGAACAGCATCTTTAACATTACTGAGGTTATCCATCCCTATCCCTACTCCCTTCTCCATGAACTAAGGTGAATTGCATGGACAATGGATGAAGCAAAGGTTCCATCTCTCCAGGCATGTGCACACACACACACACACGCACACGCACACGCATGCACAAACACACACACGTGCACAAGCACATGCACGCAAACACACGTGCACAAACACACACGTGTGCGTGCACACACGCGCACACACACAGGCGCGTGCACACACTCGCACACGCGTGCAGAAACACACGCATGCGCACAAGCACACGCATGCACACACGCGTGCACAAACACTCACTCGCGCACACACATGTACACAAACACGCGCGCGCACACACGCACGCGCACATACACACGCACGCGCACATTCACACATGCACATGCGCGCGCACACACACGTGAACAAACACACACAAACACACGCGCGCTCACACATGTGCACGCGCACACATACACAAACACACACATGCGTACCAGCAGACGCATGCATGCACACACACAAACACACACATGCGTGCACGCACACATGCACGCACACACACACATGCATGCACACATGCACGCACACACACACATGCACGCACACACACACATGCACGCACACACACACATGCACGCACACACACACATGTGCACAAGCACACGCATGCACACACATTCACTCACACACGCGCGCATGCGCACACGCATGTACACAAACACACACAAACACACACAAACACACACAAACACACACACGCGCGCATGCGCACACGCATGTACACAAACACACACAAACACACACATGCGCACAAGCACACGCATGTGCACAAACACACACAAGTGTGCGTGCACACGCACACCCACTCGCGCACACACACGTACACAAACGCTCGCACACACATGCGCGCACATACACACACGCGCGAGCACAAATGCACACGCGCGAGCACAAACGCACACGCGCGAGCACAAACGCACACGCGCGCACAAACGCACACGCGCGCACAAACGCGCGCGCACGCACGCGCGCGCACACACACACACGCGTGCGCACACACACACGCGCGAGCACCAACGCACACGCGCGCGCACAAACGCACACGCGCGCGCACAAACGCACACGCGCGCGCACAAACGCACACGCGCGCGCACAAACGCACACGCGCGCACAAACGCACACAAACACACGCGTGCACACGCGCGCGCACAAACACACGCGTGCACAAACGCGTGCATAAACACACGCGTGCACAAACGCGTGCATAAACACACGCGTGCACAAACGCGTGCATAAACACACACTCGCGCACACACACACACGTGCTCGCTCAAACACACACACACACACACGTGCTCGCTCAAACACACACACACACAC